CTGTGAGCTTCGCGTTTTGGAGATGGTTGGGATTCACTTCCTAGAATCCTGTGCCATCTTAACAGCTTGACGGCTGTTATAAATAGACCTGAACGGTCATGTCAAGAGTCACTTGACTCTCAAACTTTTTGGCCGTTCCTAAGAACGAGAATTCTCGTTTGATTTCGGTGAAATCTCCGACGAACTTCGTCTTCCTCGTTCGAGAGCATTTCTTCCAATTGACTGCATCAATGGCGCCTCGGAGAAGGGGTTCAAACTCCAAGAAAGTCGCCGGAGCGACTTCCGAAGTGCCGTCGGCTGAGGACGCCGACGGTGCTCTTGTCCATGCGGGGACATCGTCGTCGTCACTGCCGCTGCGGGGGCTTCCCTGTCGTGGTGAGTGCAGACCAAAATAACCTGCCTTGGCAAGTTCTTAGAAAACCCTAGATGGGTTCTTGATAACGAGGAAGATGACTCGTTTTAGCTCAATGAAAACGCGGGGTTGTGATCCCATGTGGGTCTCGACCCTCGCGTTCAAGTTTCTCAACGCGTTGGAGATTTCGGACGCGGGGCTCGACCTTCGCGTTGGAGATTTCGACATGAGCCTTTAACCCTTTATGTTTCAGGCTATGTCTTTATGTTGATAGCTCGTTTCTAGCCGCTAACTTCTGCTTTTGATTGTGCAGTGCTTTTCCCGAATGTGCCGCTTTCACAAGAGCATCATTTTGGATACATCGGAGGACCTGACGCGAATGAAATATTCAGTCTTCAGAACCAAATTCCATTGTGTACTTTTCCTGATTCAGAAGAGCGGAAATGATTAAATTCCCTCAATGCTCTACTCTCAGGATTTTGATAACTGATTTAGACATGGAGACCCCTGCTGGTCATGCCCAGTTTCCTAAACCAGCGTTCATATTTGGAGATCGCATACCAGCCAATGATCATCTCACATACGTGGAAGATTCGAAGCTGCTGCGGAGAGTTGATACCCGCTTCTTATTCCTCCCCAACATGAAGAGGATGTACCCTCTCTCCTACTTTCTGAATGTGAGCTGCCGTCGGGGCTTGACCTTCGACATAGTAAAAGAGAAGGAGAATGTGTCGCTTGGATTTGGTCGGCGAGCTCGTACACAAATCGGGGGACAACTCAAGGGGTTAAGACCTGGTTTGTTTGAGAAGAAGGAGCTGGTTCAGGAGATGCCACGTCCAGCGAACATCTTTATTCGCCAATTCCTTGCAACTCAGGGTGAATTCTCTACCCAGACGTTCAGATCCCCTGGATGGATCTGTTCCGGAGAAGGAGGTTGGTGGACCCGTATGGTTGACTTTGTTCTTGAAGAGCTTAAGGACTCGCTCACTCAATCGGGTCTCACAATTCCGGTGTTAGCTACACGACAGGGAGTCGTGCAGAGTCTTCATAATTTCTTCGCTATGTTGGAGAAATATAACCCTGACAGCTGCACATTCTTTACGCCTGCTGGAGAGTTAGGTTTTGCTCTTCATGAGATGCAGGCAGTGTCGGGGCTGTCACTTAGAAAAATGCCCTACGAGGAGTTTATTCCCACCACTGAGGAGCTTTCCTTACTGAAGGTGGCGCACCCTGAAATTTATGCTACCTTCTGGGAATTGATGTGCCACTTCCACATATGTGCTTAAGTCTTTGGGATGCGTGGAGGGGGCATTATGCATACCACATGGGCAGACTACCTCTTTCAAAACTTAAATCGGAAAGACGTAGCCGTATCCCGTGTCGCAGTTGTCTCATTTAAGGACGCCCAGGCTCGGATTAAGGCTCCGGGTGCTACTTATAAGACAGAGCATGCCGAGGATGATTTTGAAGCTGGTGTCGAATTTGAAAGTTTCCACTACCAAGCCACAGTTCCTATCTCTGACACGGCTCTACTTGCAGGCTTCTTCATGATTTGGTTGAAGCGGTGTGTGGTACCGTCAAGACCAATAGAATCAATATTAGCTGAGGTTGTGTATCCAGCTGTTTTGCTAGCGCATGGGAGACCTGTGAGTCTCCTTACTGCTATGGTTGGCTGTATCCAGAACGGCCTGAGGGTATTAACTTCAGAACTTCTCAGTGCTTCGGGAGTCAAAGCTGCTAAGAAGAAAACTGGGAAGGCTCCTCAACCATGTGTACCAGTGCCGTATACATATCTAATGGCCTTGTTCGTGTTGCACTGCCCTTCATTGATGACGGGAGTATATGAGGGCGATGACGCTTATACTCCCTTCGTACAGAGATTGGAGTCGGCCACGTGGACTGGTTCTTATATAGTCCGGGCTCGACAACTTTTATCCCGGGAAGACAATTACCGGGTTTTATGCTGCGTTCCTAACTTCGACGGAGCTGACGTGGAGGATGCCCGCTTCATGGACTTGCTGGCTGAGGGCTCACCTTCTTTGGAAGAGGGCGCATTTAGCTGGCTTCTTATGATCAGGTTGGGCTACCTGGTCTACCGGTTGCGGGAGAAGTGCATAATTGAGCCTTACCTGCCTTCTCGGTTCGCCAGACAGTTTAGATACGATCAACTCTATGTTGGTAATCCTAACCCGACGTTAGCTCGGATTGGGAATCTGTACGAAGGAGCTCGTGCATGGTACTTCTTCTCTGCCGGGGGAACCCATGCGCAATTCACTTTACCCAATTCACCACCCGGCTGCTCTACTGTTATGGATTTCCGCCAGTGGTTTGCTGAAGCTTCTCGTATTCCGGAATATGACGTTTATACTTCATGTATAAACGAGATTCGGGAATTGTACCGTTCACGGAGTGGTTCTGCGAGTACTCGTCTGCCAGGGATGGAAGAGTACCTATCTTGTGAACAGGAAGCGACCGGCGCCATTGAAGCTCCTAAAGACTTGTCCACAGTAGAACCTTCTGAAGAAGAGGTCCCTACGGGAATTGAAGAGGAGCTCCTAAAGACTTGTCCACAGTAGAACCTTCTGAAGAAGAGGTCCCTACGGGAATTGAAGAGGGAAAGCCAATTGATAATTCTCCTGAAGAAAAGACAACTGAGGAGATTCCTGCAGAAGAGCCTGTTCTTAAGCCTCGTTCTTTAAGGTCGGGTAAGAAGGCTCTTTCTGCTGCTGAGCAAGGCGAATACGACAGGAGAATTCGCAATCGGCTACCTG